TACAAACGATACATGAGGGTCACCCTGAAGACTTCAATATATTCCCTAACTGTTGAGGTCGTTACAAGCATCACCCTTCCTTTGCTATTATCTAACATCTTTTCGGATGCCCTACCTGCAGAAAAGTACACCGTTCCCGCGTTGATTTCATAAGCAGCACGAGAAACCATCTAAGATGAAAGGAAACTGCAGCACTTGTCGGCAACAACAGAAACAACGACTGCAACTACTAGCAAAAGGTTACGACTATAAAGTCAACAGCCTTTATTCTGGAAAAATGATGTACGTACAACCATTAATAATTTGAAAGACCTAATGACAAAGAATATCATTTATTTTACTCAATAAAGTTTGAAAATAATCTACTTCTCAATGTATTTAATTTAATAGTAAATATCAATCCCGTAGACTGAGTGTATTTTTTAAAATTGGTTAATAAAAACGTGTCAGACTACGGACTTATTGACGGATGTAATTTGATATCAGAATTCAAAGTTCAAACATATATATATATGCGCGCATGTGTGTGTGTGTGTGTGTGTGTGTGTGATAAAATATAGTTTTAAGGTGTGCTATATTTATGGGTTAAAGTGCTCACTATCAAGGATAGAGCGTATATAAATATAAAAGTGGACATTGAAGTCAACACCCAGAGGTGACAGTTTCCTGCTAAATGCAATCGTCAGGCACATGGCCTGACCATTGCGTCCCAAAAAATGTTTCAGGTAACTTTTAATTTATATGGGTACACAACAAAGACAGGCGGCACGAACCGAGTTTAAAAACAGAGGATCATAACAGAAGATACTTTACAAAAATTAAATTGGTGAATGTGTTACACAATTCAATTACTTGGAAATTGGATATGTGGCTGTTTATTTGGGTTATTAAAATAGTTGCACCGTTTTTTCAAAAGGCAGAACGACACAAGTCTCGAACAAAATATTCTGGCCAATAACTGTTGAATAATAAGCCTGTTTACTGTCTTTTAAAAAAAATACAAATAAAAGAGTTTCCCTCTAAATTCCGAGAAATGAATTCAGAGCCTACTTGTAGATTATAAAAATGGAGCCTTGGAATTCATTTTCGCAGTGGACGAAAATCTGCTGCAGGAATCCAGATCGCCCCATGTCAAAAAAGAAATACAACACAGTATAAATTTGACAACCACTAGACGAGAATTGAAAGGAAAAGTCGCTCCCACATCAATGAAAAGTCTTCGGCTGATGTCATTGTTTTATTCTTCGCTGTTACCACGAACTTTGCTTCGAAAATTATATCAATTCTTTGAAAACTATTCAGAGAAGAATTTTCTCCTTTTCTTCATTCTATATGTTTTCTTTTCTGAGGAACTTATGTAGTATTATATTTTTTATTGTAAAAAGACATTTCATTTGCATTGAAATGTTTAAAATTATCATTGAATACATCTACAATAAGCTCAATACTTATTTATCGGTATTAAATCTAAATCCAAATCAAGGGTCTTCTCGCTCTTGTTGGAAGAAGTCTTCCAAGGTTGACCGTCACCATTTCCTATCGATATTAAAACAAGGATGCAATCTTAGAAAACACAAGAAATTTAAATCGAAAATTAAATTTAGTTTTCCTCTATCCACGAATTCATTTTCTGTCCAAACAAGTGGAGTATTGGAATATAATTATTTCCAGTTATCACCAATATGAAATATTCAATATATAAATCTTCTAGTTTTGCATAATAGTTCTCATTTTAAAGGACTTATTAAAGCCATAAGTCACGAAAACAGGAATTGAGTTAAAAGGAAAAACAGAGAAATTGATACCAAGATGGTTAGATAGATAGATAGATAGATAGATAGATAGATAGATAGATAGAAAGCCTCCCGCCACATATCCGCATAAACTGTGTCTGTTACAATGTAACCATCTACTTCGAGGTTTTTTGCAGGGTGAACCACATTGTAAAAAAAAAAAGAAAAGATAGATAGATAGATAGATAGATAGAGAGAGAGAGAGAGAGAGACAGACAGACAGAGACAGAGACAGAGAGACAGAGAAAGCAAATAGATAGATAGGGAGGAAATATAATGTATATAGGTAGATAGATAGCATATATATATATATATATATATATATATATATATATATATATATATATATATATATATATCAAGATAGAGAAATAGATAGATAGCAGATAGATAGATAGCAAATGGTAACTTAAAAGTTGTAAAAGAAAGACTGAAGTAAAGAAAGAAAACCAAACATGATAGGCCTGCAGAAAATATGTTTGAATGTTACTGTTAGTGTGCCAACACATTGGCTTGGTATATTCAGTTGTCAGGCAGCTGGTAGGTAAAAGCCCGGAAGCAAATCAACACATTTATTTGTAAAGTTTTCACTGCAGCAGACCTGAGTTAAGTATCGACCCGTTTGGCTAGCCAACCGACTGGGTGGTCAAACGGTTGACCGGCAAGTCTATTTATTCGAGCCACGCCTCTTCTATTTTGACTCATTGAAGATCAGAGTATCATATGATTGCAACTTTGAATATGCAGCAAATGATACGTGCTCAATAATTTAGAGCCGATCAAAATGCTGATATGTTGAAATTGTATAAGATTATTGTAAAAACTAGCCCTTTTTTATTCAAGAATATCACAATTGTTTAGTTCGCTTCTGATGTTAACCAAATTTAGTAGATTTAAGAGGGAATACATATTATTTAACTCAACATTTACACTATTGTTCGGACTATTGTCTAACACAGGAAGTTGTGAAGAACCATGATCACATAAAAGAAGGCTACACACACATTCTTGCTGATTATTTCCATCAAAACTACAAGAGTGGAGCAGATAACACAGTTCATTCAATACATATGTAGATTCCTTCACTAAATGGCACAGGTTCGACAAAAAATCTGACCGTACAAATCTGATTTCCGCATCAGATTGATTCAGTTGCATAAAACGTTGTTTAAAACTAATCATTTTTATTCAATAAAAAATTAACCAATAAAAGTATTTCGGAAAATAATTTGCTCTTTTTCAATGAACATTATGAAGTTTTCATAATAATGTTCACAAATTATAAGGGTAACTCCAGAAAACAACTCTGATGGTGTCAAATAACTTAGCTCGGGTCCAGCATGAAATTATTTTTTTAAATCGTGTCACCATCTAGATTCAGTATGCGTCATATTGGTGGTGTCTAAATTAGTCACTGTCCGAGCATACTATCCGTCACAGCTAAAGCAGTCACGTCCAGATAGCATACGACTTTGTTAAAGCATTAATTAGATAAACACAGATCGACATAAAATCGTATAAAAAGTTAAAATCAACAACTATGTGCCGAAAACAAATAGAAATAATGTAAAAAGTGAAAAAGAACGACGGATCAATTTCTTTTCCTATTATTTCTTTCATCTTATATTGTTGTTCAGTTATATAGTTACTAGCAGTAGAGCCCGGCGTTGCCCGGGGATGTAACAGTAAGAGATAGATCAAGTATCGACCATCATGAAGACTGAAAAATAAAATTGACAAAGATTATTGTTTAAGCTTGACGGACCCGCATGTCTTAATTAGTTTTTTTTTTGTTTTTTTTACGAATTGGTCAAACCCAAACTCAAACAAAAACATTGTTTTCAATCGTTATGAGTCTATCGATTGAATAGAATTTTATTATAAACAATTGTCTTGTAAATGGAATTTTTAAAGCATTCTAAATGTAAAAATAAAGAAAAAAAGTGTGCAAGACAATAAGAAACACTACCTGCCAAAAAAAGTGAAGTTTTGTTGAAATCGGTTGAAAAATGCAGGAAATCCGATCCCATATATAAACACACACACACACACACACACACACACACACACACACACACAACCTGGGTATAACTCGATATGAGTTGTCCCCCTTTCATTCTGGCGACAGAATCGTGTTTTCAAATTGATTTCGTGCAAAAACAATTGTGTTTTTCCAATTTTGGGCGCTGTCAGAACCACCGCAAAGTAATTTTACGCAGTCCTGTGAAGTTTTGTTGAAATCAGTTGAAAAATGTAAGAAATCTGATCCAATATATAAACGTACAGGCACACACACACACACACACACACACACACACACAATATCTGCGTTTTATAATAAGTAAGATGTAATCATCACAGATTGGAACTAAAGGTCACATCTCTTTTGCTTGAATGTAAATAAGAAATTTATAACCGTAAAATATTAACAATTAAACTTAGTTTTTCTCTTACAATTTTTATTTTAATGATTTGTGATTTTAACAAAAATCTAAAAATACGACACACACATAACCAGTTATATGTGATATATTTATTTTTAGATTTGAAGATTTATCCAAGATATAAACGGTCTAGTGGCTTACAGTGTTGATTAAAACATCTGTTCTTCCTTTGTAGTTGTGAGTTCAATCCCTGGGACATGTAGAACTGTGACAAACAATTGACATAAATTGTAAATAAGACTAATATGAAATAACCACTAAATATGGAAACCAGTATGATAACAATCTAGAAGTTTGGTTCGAAATTCCAAGAAGGCAAGCAAAGAATGACGTGTGAAGAAGGTGCAATGGCTGGAATGTTGTGAGCATAAAAACTAAGATGAGCATACTAGTCTGAATAGCAATGTGTATCATGAAATATTTAGCTATATAGTAATATACTTGTCGAAGGCTTATTCTTTCATTTGTGCTTTTTACTTAACGACCGTAGAATGATGATCTGAGTGTTATGTAAAAACAACAGCAAAAAATAGAAATATTAGTTTAAATTAATAATTGACAATGAAATTCGAATATTTTTACAAAAAATATACTTATAATTGATATTTCTCATTTTATTTCATAAATTTATTTTGCAAACAAGACGACATTTGTGATAACTTCAAATAGAGCGTTAATGAAATGGTCATCATATTTGCTCTATTTCTCTTTTCCCAACATTAATAAAGAGAAAAACAGGCAAGGCGTAGATAGAAATTTAGGTTTACGGCCACATCACGTTGAAATACCGGTTCCCATACGATTACCGATGTTAAGCAACGTCAAGCCTGGTCAGTGTCTAGATGGGTGACCGCTTGGGACTACCAGGTGTTGTAAG